AATTTTAGTTTTAGAATTTTGTTTTCACAATTAGGTTTTAGATTTTAATTCTAGTTTTTTTTTCTTGAATTTTTATTTAGTTAACCTTAATTAATTTTAGTTTTAGAATTTTATTTTCAAAATTAGGTTAGATAACTAAACGGTAGATTAATTGTCAAGTCTTCTAATTTTTAGGGACTCGATGACAATTTTTGAAAAAAATAAAAAAATAAAAATAAAAAATATGTCAAAAAAGGATACATTTTAATTTTGTTTTTAATTAGTTAAGATAATCCAATGATAGATGAATTGTCGAGTCTCCTAAATTTTTAGGGATTGATGACGATTTCTTTTCGAAGTGTCAATAATTAGTGTAGATAATCAATAAATGGGTGAATTGTCGAGTCTCCTAAATTTTTAAGAACCGATGACGTTTTTTTTTTTTTTTGAAATGTTAATAATTAGATTAATAGTCAATAAAGAGGTAAATTATCGAGTCTCCTAAACTCTTAGAGACCGATGATGATTTTTCTTCGAAATATCAATAATTAGTTTAGGTAATTGAAAGATAAGTGAATTGTTGAATCTCCTAAATTTTAAGAACCGATGATAATTTTTCCTGAAATATTTGTATTTTGATTAACGAGTTAATAAATCAATAAATCTATGAATTGTCAAGTCTCCTAAATTCTTAGGGACCGATGACAATTTCTCATTGAATGATAGGTCATTAACATTTAAATTTGCTTGAAAATTTGATCTTCAAATAAAAAATAATTTGACAAAAATAAAAGATTTAGGGAGATGAATTTAAGACTAAATTAGATATAATACTTTTCTTAAGAAAAGGCTTTTTTGAGTGACCGTTGTCTTCCCAAAGCGTAACCAACTCTTTACCTTAAAATCTTTGCATCGGTTGCTATTTTAGGTTCTTAGTTTTTTTAACACTAGATGGCAACTCTAAACACGGTAATAACTTGCATCCTTAAAAATCTCTCGTAAATAAGATGCACATCTTTGAAAACCTTCAAAATCTTAAAATTTTTAAGGAGTCTCATCCGATATCATGTAGCGACACATCCTATGAAAAACCCCTTATGGAGTAAAGATAAATTCACCCATTAGGATGCCCGAATAGACGAAATTCACCGATTGGCTATACTGCATTTTTTTAGTTTATTGGAGTACCGTTGAGTGTTGAAATCTATAGAATATACAATTATTAGATTATTTCGGCTTTTTTTTTTTGTTTTTTTTTCCATGTCATTTTCACTTGGCAGTCATACATGATTGACATGTCATCACCAAGTGTAAAACAGAGTCTCGTTAACGGACCATGTATGCATATAACAAGGAAAATTATCGGAAAATTAGCAAAGATATTTGACTAGAAAAAATATCAACTTGAATTATTTAAACAAGATTAAAAAGGATACTTCATTAAAAAAAAATTGACAATTTTGTAAAGTAAAAATATAATTAACTTAAAAATTATTTATGCATCTACACACATAATACTAACTAAACTTACAAAAACTATTTAATTCTTTTTGTATGACTATAATATTATAAAATATAAAATATGTGATATGGTCCTCGGATACGCTAGGATATGGCGAAATAATATTATAAAAATAAATTTAATTTCAGATATGTGGAGAATTTGATAGGATACTTGGGGATATGACTAGGATACAAAGGGTTACATGAGGGCTATTTATTGATGTTAAATTTGTAAGTTTTTTGAGGAAAAAAACCCAAATATAGTTTTAAGTTTCATGAGTTAAAAACAAAAACCCAAACATTTAACTAACATAACCTTATTTTAATATTTTTTAATTATTATTTCAAATTTAAATTGTTAAAACAATTAGAATCGATTATATAATTATAAGTTATATTTAATATAGATAGACCAGATTGTTTCACAATTCATAAAATGAGACCTTGTTTACATATTTAATAAACATTTTATTTTTAAGAGAGGAAAAAAAAAACTTATAGGAGTTAAAGTGGTAACCTCCATTTTCTAAAATTATAGACTTACCACTTCAACGTTTTTTATTTACATTTCATATATTACAAAATATATTAATATTACAGTACAAGCCATCCGTCAATCCGACCAATGTCTCAACAAGACAATAGTGGTAAAGATTTTTCTTTCTTATCTACTTTGCATTTGCAAGGATGAGCATTTCAAGACTCTCCCTGCACAAAATCTTTACCTTATCGTGCTTCCATGGTCGACATGGATACGTTATTTATGGAATTATTTCTTGGCTTTCTTAAATTCAATTCGGTTCCCACAATAGTTCTTGCATTGGAAAAAGCAGGTTGTTTTGGCAACGGCAATGGTGCTTCACTAGTTAGCATCCATATAACATCCGACATAGTAGGCCTATCCATCGCATCATCTTCTATACATAGCAAGCCCACATGAATGCATCTCAACACTTGGTCTTTAGAGCAAGAATCTCTTAATGTTGGATCCACGAGCTCCAGTTGGTTACCTTCTTTCCATAGCTCCCATGCCTGGAATATATTTAATTTAGTGAAAATGTTGAAAGCTTAATTGCAGCAAGTAAATTCCTATTCTATAAAATTTGAAACAACATGAAATGAGCTTACATATCCCACAAGGTTGAGAGGGGGATCAATGTGAAAAAGGTCACGGTTTTTTCTACCACACACAATTTCTAGCATTAGAACTCCAAAACTGAAAACATCAGATTTCACAGAGAAAACGCCTTCCATGGCATACTCAGGGGACATATAACCACTGTATTTTTGAAAAAATTTATGGTTAGTAATAGCTATATAAATGAACTGAAGATCAATGAAAGATAAAGTTACTACTAGTTTCGTACTTACTATGTTCCAACAACGCGGTTTGTATTTGCTTCCAATTCATTAATCTTGACTATTCTTGCCATGCCAAAATCAGAAATTTTGGGGTTCAGATTTTCATCTAGTAGAATGTTACTAGCCTTCAAGTCTCTATGAATTATCCTTAACCTTGAGTACTTATGAAGGTAAAGGAGTCCTTGAGCAACGCCTTCGATGATTTCAAAACGTTTCTTCCAGTCTAACATCTCCCTGTTTGATTGATCTACATCAAGAACAGATGAGTGACAATTCCAGCAATGTTATTGATCAAAGTCCAAGACCTTGAACACAGATTGTTTCTTTCATGATATGGTAAAGGAAGTGTTGCTTACCAAAGATAAATGAATCTAAGCTTTTATTAGGCATGTATACATACACTAACATTTTCTCTTCCCCTTGAATGCAACAACCCAAGAGCCTGACAAGATTCACGTGTTGCAATTTAGCTATGAGTATAAGCTCATTTTTTAATTCCACTAGCCCTTGTCCAGAACTTCTTGACAGTCTTTTTACTGCTATCTCTCGCCCATCCGATAATTTCCCCTGAAATTTCATTAGTTGGTATGAGATATTATAAAATCAACGGTTAGTTAATTCTTTTCTTGAGGTGATTTTAAACTAGACTACCTTGTAGACAGGTCCAAAACCACCCTGTCCAAGCTTATTCTCTGCAGAGAATGAATTTGTAGCAGCCATGATTGTTGCAGCACTATAGACTTTTAAATTATGGCCCTTGTTTCCGTCATTTTCAAGTTCATGTATGTCATTCGTTGCATCCCATGTCAGCAACTCTTTTAAATACTTCTCTGCTCGGATTGGTATAATAAATTAAGTTAAGCTTAGAATTTCAACAACTCATGATGCTTATTGCAAACTACAGTTTCAAAAATGTTACCTCTAAGTCTTCTCCTTCTCAGATACCAAAAGAGTCCGGCGAGAGACATTATCAAAACAAATCCCACTGAAGCTAAAATAATCCACATCCTATTCCTCTTCCCTGCATCTAGTGGCAATTTATTAAAGATAAATGCAATGAATTTATCAAAGCTAAAACAATCCAAATCCATTTTGGGAGACAAGCGTGCTGGAAGAATCGAGGGCAACTCCACCTTGGTAAAGTGTGTCTGCTGCTAAACAATAAGAGGCACAAAAGCAAGACAAAATGTGACGGAGGAGTTTGGAGGCAAGAAAGCCTCTCCAGAAATTAAGGCACTCAATTTGAAATCCTATTTGTTTCTTTTTTCTTTAGAAATAGATCGAGGAGCTGAGTAATTAAAATGCAGACGGTTTGAAAAAGTAAAACATATATCATTTGGCACTAAACCAATGATTTTGTTTTGGTACTTTATTGTTTTTCAATTAGTTTTATACTGAATTGGCTATTTTAATCTTTAGAAAAACACAAACACACACAATGAATTGGACACCATGGCTAAGGGTGATAGAGTACAAGGATCCCGCTACGAAAAAATATTATTGCCAAACCGATATAAGACAAAAATCAAGAGACTGCATAAACCTTTAAACCATTCAAAAATCATAGCTATTCTTCTTAATTTTAGAGAATTAGATTTATCATCATCCTAATGACTTGCCACTGCTAGAGAATTGGATTTATCCGGCCAAGTCCACCTGTCTGACGCCTTAAAACGGCCCCTTTTTGCCTAGACCACCTACTGCCAGTTTCTTCTCGGTGTGCTTCTGGTATTGGTATCTGCAACTGTTCATAAAAGATTTTGGTTCTTCTTTTTCAGCAGTAAAGTGTTCTTGGTCAGCTTCTCTGTATCTTAATACTAATTTCTTCATGGACAAGATTAAAAGATATTTCTTAACACACGATTTTTAATATTTTGAAAATAAATTTTCACAAATATTTATTATAAGAATCGAATTCTAGACTCGATATATAAGTCAACGCTTGCATGCTAATCAAAGATTTTGCAAGCCTAGCTAACAAGATGAACCCCATCTAGACAGTGGAAAGAGAGATTTTCTTACCATGGTTTGTGGACATAACAAGACCAGCATGACACAACTAGCGCTTAGCCGAAATACACAAGTGGGCAATAGGCAAAATAGCCATCACTTTCAAGAAAGATAAACAGAATTTCAGGACAAAAAAGAATGAAGAATTAAAACGACTCACCGGAATTACAATACTGAGCATGAGGTCTATCAGGGCAGAAACATTTGAAGTGATATGTAGAGGAATCAAATCCACACTTGCCACCACTTTTTTCACACGTGCTGCAATTACTCGCTGTCCAATTCAACACAAACCCTCTTTCTAGCATCCGTTCAATCCCAACATTCTCACCTCTATACAACTCCACCGGTGCCACAACTCCAGTTTCACACTTCTCTGATGCAGAACCCAGTAGAGGATCATGATCAAGCATTGCTAGAGTTGAAACTGTTTCATCCCCCCAACACAATCAACCTTGTATTTTAAGAGGTCAGTATCATTCACTAGGAGCGATGAGTTGCAATTATAGAGCAAGAAAAGGGAGGTTTCGTTAGAAGACAGTTGGAACCCGCCATCAGCTAGAGACATGTTTTGTATTGGAGGAATACATGGGATGCATTTACCAAAAACTATTGCATTCGAGACACGAAGAGACTGGTTCTGGTAGAAGATTTCGTGGACGATATACTCATTATTGGACAGTTTAAAGACTGGCTTGCCTTTGTTGCAAGATACATTGAATCCAGGGTAGCCACAAAATGGTTCTTGCTCGTTTTGGATATAAAATGGGTAGCTTATCTTTTGGCCATCGCCACAGGTTTTGGGGTTGCAAGCTAGGAAATTAGGGTCTATACATGAGGCTTTCTTTGCAAGGAGAACAAAAGCGACAGCAAAGAGATTTATTATTGGATAAAAGGATGTTAAAAAGAAGTTCCGGTTCATTTGGGGATCTTGATTTTGTGGAGGAGAGAAAGAGAAAGAGAGGGAGAGAGATAATGGTGAATATATTGTAGTGAAGGCTGTGAGCGGGTGAGTTTGACTTGATTGTTGCAGTTCTTCTGCCTCCGACAGTTCTTTTTTTTTTTTTTTTTTTTTTGGGGAGCGAGGAGGATTGTCCATATCTGACTAAAAATCTGACACTGTTGAATGTAAGGCAATAGAAGTAGGTATTGCCCAAGTGAGGCGTAGTTAAGAAAGCAGTGCAAGATGACCAGCTTAAGGCTCTAAACCCTTCAACGTATAGGCCTTTTTACCACTTGAAAGAAATTTTGGGTTGCTATGTAATTTGGTTGGAGTTCCCGATACAAAAAGAAATCATTAGGTAATCATCGTGTATTTATCGTTATTTTGATTAGGTAAAAGTAGAATTCACTGTGACTGCCTATAGCCACGTTATTAAATTAACAAAACTGAAAAAATAAACGTTCTCACTGTTTAGTTATTACTCATTCAGATTCAATTGAACTGTAGATGTACTGTCCACACTCCTTTCTTCTCCTTCGACCATCTGTTCTTCTTGGTCTCTTCCTGACCATTCTATTTGCTGTTGCTCTTTTCTCCTTTCTCTCTTTGTCTAAGATTACAGCCGCACTCTTTTCTCTTCATCTCTACCACCGCGACCTTACCCTCTTCAGAAAACCCTCACTCTCTCTCCTCAACAAACCTCTTTGTTCCACACGCATAGCTTCCTCCTTCAAATTCAACATCGCCTTCGCCGCTCCTAAGCCGAAACCCAGACTCCCCGCAAACCTCCAATGCGATGCCGCTTCTCTCTCTCTCTCTCTCCCTCTAGGCCACCACTTCATTCCCTGGTCTGCCACTGCAAAAAAATCTCAGTTTCTTATCTCATACACGTTCTCTCTCTCATCTCATCTATTCTTTTCTGTTGAGTGGGATACCAATGGACACGAATTTGTTATTAAACGACGAGGCATGATTTATTGGAGTAGTGGAGCATTAAACAGCAATTATAGTTTCAAAAAATTTTACTTTCCTTATGGGCCTCTTGATTACAGCTTTATTAATGTTTTTAACTCGGACGAGGATTACGTTATGTTCACAGTTACTGGTGGAATGAATTTCCCTGATCCTCAGGATTATAACAAATTTTCAAATTGGCAATTGAGATTTGATGGTACAATTCGTGATGTAGGTCCTAATGTTAGTTCGGTTCATGGATTATGTTATGGAAACAGCACAACGAGTGGTTGTAAGAGATGGGCAGGACCAGAGTGCAGGATTGTTGGCGAGAGGTTTCAATTGAGATCAATAGACTTTTTTATAGGGGGAACTGAGCAAGTTGATGATAATAATGCTAGTCTTAGCATTGGTGATTGCAGGGAACTCTGCTGGAAAGACTGTCAGTGTTCTGGCATTTTAACCAGAGGTAATAATGCCAGCAACACAGGATGCTCATCTGCAGATGATGTCTCTTCAGGCCAGTACATATTTTGCTTTATCAGCTTGATTTCTTTTATCCTAATTTGATTTTTCTCAATGTCATTAACAATGGAAACACTGTGCACGGCATTCTTCGTTTTCAATTTGCCGGTGGATATTGCAGGGGAAAGGTAGTGGATATGGATTGTCGTTTCTGTGGCAGGTTTTCTAATAATGGCACTCGCGGGTATCTTGTGGTACCTGAGAAGGCGAAGAGTACTTAGAGGTAACATTTTCGAAGCAACAAATAAGTTATACTGTAAGAATTATTATTCCTATGGTCTTATTGCATTACAGGCTTGACTTTTGATGTCGATCTGAGCAGAAAAACTTCTAAATGAGTTAATGACGTTGGATGTGTCCAAAGATATACATGAGCTAGAAACTGATGGAAACAAGGACATAATTTGAAAGTATATAGTGCTGCAACAATCATGGAAGCTACGAAATCCTTCTCTGCAGAGAATAAACTTGGACAGGGTGGTTTTGGACCTGTTTATAAGGTAGTCTAAGGAACACAACTTCTAAGACAACAATGAAATAACCTTGTTAATTTTAAGTCTAAGTAATGACTAATGACCAAATTCTGTTTCAGGGAAAATTGCCAGATGCACGAGAGATAGCCATAAAAAGACTATCAAGAAGTTCAGGACAAGGGCTGATAGAATTTAAAAATGAGCTTATACTCATAGCTAAATTGCAGCACATGAATCTTGTCAGGCTCCTAGGCTGCTGCATTGAAGGTGCAGAGAAAATGTTGGTGTATGAGTATATGGCCAACAAGAGCTTGGATTCATTTATATTTGGTACAACATCTAAACATTTCCTTGATTTCCCATCAAACATGAAAAAGAAAGATACTGTGATCAACACTATTGCTGGAATTTTCACACCATTTGCCTTTCTTTTTTTAATGCAGATCAATCAAGGAGGGAACAACTGGATTGGAAGAACCGTTTTGAAATCATCGAAGGGATAGCTCAAGGACTCCTGTACCTTCATAAACACTCGAGATTAAGGATAATTCATAGAGATTTGAAGGCTAGTAACATACTACTTGACGAAATCTGAACCCCAAAATACCTGATTTTGGTATGGCAAGAATTTTCAAGATAAATGAAATGGAATCCAATACAAACTGAATTGTTGGGACCTAGTAAGTAAAAAATCAACAGTTCAGTTTTATGTTTTGGTACTCTACATGCTAAAAATAATGCATTTATCTTGTAATTACTGATGCTAAATTTGTTCATTAACACAGTGGTTATATGTCCCCTGAGTATGCCATGGAGTGCATTTTCTCTGTGAAATCTGATGTCTTTAGCTTCAGGGTATTGCTGCTGAAAATTGTTACTGGTAGAAAGAACCATGGCCTTTTTCAAATTGATCGCCCACTCAATCTTGTGGGATATTTAAGCGCTTTTCGTCGTGTCACAATTCAAATTCATTACACTCTACTAGCTTGAAGTAGTTAGCTTTTAACATCTGCATTGATCAAACCATTTGTGTCAGGCATGGGAGCTATGGAAAGCAGGCACCCCCATTGAGCTAGTGGATCTGACATTAAGAGATTCTTGCTCGGAACAGCAAGTCTTGAGATGCATCAATGTGGGCTTGCTATGTGTCGAAGATAATGCACCGGATAGGCCAACAATGTCAGATGCTATATCAATGTTAACAAGCGAAGCATCACTGCCATCGCCGAAACATCCTGCATCTTCCAACGCAAGAAGTGTTAATGACATAGAATTTCCTGTAAACAATCCATGAAGTAGTTCCATCAATTACGTATCTATTTCGAGTATGGAAGCACGATAATAGTGTGAGATTTATGCACGAAATGCTAGAGATACTAAGACTTCGTACGAACTCTTTGTGCATCAGAATGATGGCAGATTCCTACAACGGATTTATTGATCAAACTTTTTAAGTTTTGAAAGATAAAAATGAGAATGAAATCTTCGATTATGATTTTGTTCTTCATGATCGTACTTTGTCATCGATCTGTGCTTCTTATAACTAATTTCGTCAACTTCTTATAGCATTATCTCTTTGCTCACAAATAGTGATACTTTGAAATTGGACATTTACAACCAAAAGCTGAGTTGTATCAAATAAATTATATTATCAGAATTCAGAAGCATTGACTTTAATCATGTACTTGGAAGGAGAATTTCTGATTCGATAATGAATATTCTGAGACTTTATCAAGTAATGTACTCATCAAAATTTAAATTGTCGCAATTAGTGCATTCTATCGTTTTCTTAACCAAATCTTTAGGACTGTCAGAATATAGCTAATAAAAATTAAGCTAAGAATTGGCTTTGAGACAAGGAAATCTCCACATTTTTTTTTTTTTTAAGGAATGTAACACGAGAACTTCTCAAGAAATCACCCATTCTAGTACTACTCTCGCCTAAACATGTTTAACTTTAGAGTTCTGATGGAATCTAGTGCATTAATGCTGGTATGATCACACCCAAATCTCGACCTTCCTTTCAGGAAATTTACAAACATTTCTGTAGATGCAGCTAACTCTATCTTTTAATTTTTCATACTCAGAAGCACATATTTCACCATACAATCCTCCAGTTTTTACGAAATTTATCTTCAATGGCTAGCAAAAGCATCCATGCCTGCAAAATGTTCTTGCTCATTTTGTCCTGCTTCTGTGTTTTTCATACTTTAGCAGCAGACTCAGACTCAATCTACCAAGGTGGTAATACCTTCAATTCTTCCAATACACTTGTTTCTGAAAGTGGTCTCTTCACTTTAGAATTCATAACACTTGGCTCTGCTCAGGCTAATGCCAGCTACTTGGGGATATGGTACAACAACGACACAAGCCACCCTTTTTGGTTTGCCAACCGCGACAAACCCATAGGAGACAGTTCAGGACTTCTTGCAATAGATGACACAGGAAGCGGTTGTGACTTGTGAGAGATGGGCAGGACCCAAGTGCAGGGATAATGGGGATGTGGAGAGGTTTGAATTCAGATCAGGCCAGTTTTTCGATACAGGTTCTAGCAAAGTGGATGAGAATCTTGGCATTGGTGATCTAGGGCATCTGCTGGAAAGATTGTGAATGTGTTGGCATTAGTAATAATGGCGGAGCACATTTTGGTACGGAGACTTCACTCAAGACCTGAGTGGAGCATCCCCTCAATAGTCAATAGTACCGAATTGTTCATCGCTCTTCAGCTCAGTCCAGCTTTTGCTTTTATAAAAATCTGAGCTTATGTTTCTTACAGAAATAACTAACTGATAAATGTAAGATAATTACTCTTCTTATGCTTAATAAATCATTGAATTCTTTCATAATCATATTGCATTCCAGACTAAATATTCCATATCAATCTGAGCATAAAATTTTCTAAATGAGTTGATGACATTGGATGCAACAAATAATGGAAACAAGGGACATAATTTGAAAGTGCGTAGCGATGCAACAGTCATGACAGCTACAGATTCCTTCTCAGAGAAGAATTGGACTTTTGGACTTGTTACAAGATAGTTTAGAAAAAAACACTCTTAAGAAAAGAATTCACAACCCTCTTAGTATTATGTAATGACTGATGAGATATGTTTTATTTCAGGGAAAATTACCGGATTAGTGAGAGATAGCCATAAAAAGACTATCAAGAAGTTCAGGACAAGGGCTGGTAGAATTTAAAAAGGAACTTCTACTCACTGCTCAATTGCAACACATGAGTTGCAGTTCAATTTAAGACAAAATATGAAGACTTAGAGTTTGTTAATATGGAAAAAGATGCATCTTATACAACCGGGTTTGTCTTATGTTGAATAATTTAGCTTTTGAAAGGTTATTAAGCACCTGAAGGCCAATGAGTTGCAGTTTAATTGGTATTAGTGTCCTTCCTCTCTTTAAGAGGTCGAGTTTGAATCTCTCCTTTGTGACAATAATAATAATAATAATAATTATTATTATTATTAATTAATTAAATTAAATTGGACACCTGAAGGTGCACAGTAGGATGTACATATTTATTGAACATTTTATTCATGAACGTGAGAGCATGATATGGGAAAATGCTTGAGGACTCCGAAACCCAGCTCTCTAAGTAAAACAAAAGGATATGGTAAAGGAAGTGCTGCTGTTAGAGAATATAAATTATTTTCTAGAGTCTTACATAACAGACTTAAGTTTTTAGGTGAGATGGTATTTTAATATGATATCGGGGCTTTGTTGATCATGTAATCCCGAATTCAAATCGCATTATCTCCACTTTCTTAAGTATTAAGCACAAGATAATATGGACTGGTACAAGTTTCAACATAAAATGTTGAGACTTTCACTTGAGGAGGTATGTTAAAAAATATAAATTATATTATGAGACATTACCT